CAGTCCAGTCCAATCCCTGTCTGAAGAGTTGGCCTCGGAAATTGTTTTAGTTCTGGGCTGATAGAGAATCCAGGGGCCGTGCTTTCCAGGGTTCCTCCAGTCTCAGACCATTAAGTCTGGTCTTCTTACCAGAATTTGAATTCTGCACCTCACCATTCTCCTGCTCCATCTGGGACTGTCTGTTTTGTTCCCTGTCAAGCCAGTCACTGGTGGTAGCCGGGCACCATCTAGTTCTTCTGGTCTCAGGCTGATGAAGTCTCTGGCTTATGTGGCCCTTTCTGTCTCTTGGGCTAATACTTTCCTGTGTCTTTGATGTTCTTCATTCTCCTTTACTCCAGGTGGTTGGGACCAATTGACACATCTTAGATGGCCACTCGCAAGGTTTTAAGACCCAGACACAGCTCACTAAAGTAGGATGCAGAACATTTTCTTAATAAGCTTTGTTATGCCAGTTGACCTAGATGTCCTCTGAAAGCATGGTCCCCAGACCCATACCCCTGCTACTCTGTCCCTCAAAGTGTTTGACTGTATTCAGGAAACTTCTTAGCTTTGGTTTAGTCCACTTGTGCTGACTTCCCCTGTAGTGTGTGTTGTCCTTTCCTTCATCTAAGATAATTCTTATCTACTATCTAGTTAGTAAATAACACTCACCCTTCCTCTCTACCCTCATAACCATCAAATAATGTTTTCTGTTTAAACCTTTTCTTGAGTTCTTGTAATAGTGGTCTTATACAATATGTGTCCTTCTGTGTGGTCTAACTGCTTCTTAAAATACTTCCAACCTAACCTACATTTTTCAACCTCATCATCACCCCTACTCCTAGAGGTTTTACGTGGTGCAACCAATTCCTGATCCTTTTGTGGTTTCTGTATTGTCAGTCTGGTTGCTTCTTGGCTTTCCCTATTGGGATTTTCTTTTCTCAAGTCTACTAGGTCAGTTACCATTTATCCACCTCTTTTCCAGCTTCTGAAATTTTGTTCCTGTTGTTTCCTCTCAAATTCTCTATGATCCTATGAGTTTCTCCCTTAAAAGACAAAACAAATTCTTTATTGTTATGTAGTTGGATTTCAAGAGGGAATGAATATAACTTTATGAGTTCAATCCACAACTTTTAATTGGAATTCCTCCTAATTCTTGTTAAATATAATTTTTTTTCTAAAGATAGTCTCTTTTACCCCCATTATTTACTATGAAATCTTGATTTCTATTTTAAGTAGGTATAGAGTTTTGAGTGAACTTTTTCTAGTTCTAATTATACTATGATTGCTTTATTCATTTAACAAGTTAATTTTGCCAGTTAGTGTGAGTCAGAAAGTGCTGTATATATTGGGAATTTAGCTGTAAGCAATACAGAAAAAGTCACATGCAGCCTATATACTTAGAAAGGAATAATAATAAGTAAATAAGTTTAGATTCTAATAAGTACAATGGAAGACATTATCAAGGGGAAGCTAATTTTGATTGGGTGATTAGGGAAGGTCACTTTTTGGAGATAACATTTGAGATGAGGCTTAAAGAATGAATAGAAGCCAGACACTCAGAGTATTGGTAGAAGAGCTTTCTAGGCAGCAAGGCAGCAAGTGCAAAGGCCCCGGAGTGAGAAAGGGCTTGGGCAGTCTGGGGAACAGAAAGATCAGCATGGATGGAGTATGAAGAATGAATGGGAGTAATATGAGATGAATTTGGAGAGGTGGATTGGAGCCAGATCATGCAGGATCTTATAAGCAATGATAAGGAGCTCAAAATTTCTTCTAAGAGCAATGGCAAGCTATTGAAGGAGAGTGTTGGAGAGGGTTAAATAGAGACCAGTAGACAGACAAGAGATGATGGTAGCTAGGCTTGGATTAGAGTACTGGTGGTGCAGTGATTAAGAGCTATGGCTGCTAACCAAAAGGTTGGCAGTTCGAATCCACCAGCCACTCCTTGAAAACCCTACGGGGCAGTTCTACTCTGTCCTATACAGTCACTGTGAGTTGGAATCAACCTGATAGCAACAGGTAAGGTAAGGCTTGAATTAGAGTGCTGGCAGTAAAGATGAGAGAAGTAGATGGATTTAAAATATATCTTAAATGTATTTCTCATAAGATTGAGTTCCTCAATGGCAGACCATGTCTTTTGTCCCTAGGACCTAGTAAAAAGCTTTACCATCATAGGTGCTCAATGAGTATTAGTTTAACAGATGAATGGATCACATAAGTAACTGGACTAGGGTTTCTTAGGCCCTAGCCTGGCTGCAAGGTCTCTGGAGAGGAGATCCCCATACATACTATCAGTCAACCCTCCAGTCATCATACTATCAAATTGTGGTAGTCATTTAATGAGTGCTTAGCATAAGATGGAAACCCTAGTGGCATAGTGATTAAGAGCTACAGCTGCTATCCACAAGGTTAGCAGTTCAATTCCATCAGGCGCTCCTTGGAAACCGTATGGGGCAGTTCTACTGTGTCCTGTAGGGTTGCTATGAGTCGGAATCAACTCAATGGCAATGGGTTTGGTTTGGGTTTGGGTAGCTAAGCTAGGCACAGTGCTAACTGTTCTAGCACGAATTACCTCTAATTCTCACAATATCCTTAAGAGATGGATAAAAACCAAAAAACAAAACAAAACAAAAAAAAACAAACCCACTGCCATTGAGTTGATTCCGACTCTTACTAATATTAAAAGGTTACATGACTTGGCTATAGCTCCAAACATTTTAACCTGCCCTAGCCTTGAAAGACTGGAATAAGAATCCTCCAAAGGAATCTCAGTCAGTGTGCCGAAGCTGGAGAGAAATAAAATCTCTGTTCTGATCACTGTAGACTGGGTCCTGGTGGAAGGAATGGATGATGATCGAAGTGTGAGAGCAGCAGCTATTTCATTTTAGCCTGCCTGTTATCTTTTACTTATCCAACTTCAGGAATGAGGCACACTGCTTTCCATAACTGACTTGTCTTGCAACTTGCTGGGCAAGTCACACTTCCCCTGAACTTTGTTTTTTCCTATGAAGTAGAGCTAATTCACGGCTTTGAACCGGTCTGTTCTGGTTCAAACCCCTGCTGACAATTTGCATTTCTAACATGTTCCCAGAAGTTATACATAAGAATCACCTGGGGGTCTTGTTAAAATGTAGATTTGGCTTCAGTATATCTGCGGTGGAAATGCAAATTATCAGCAGGAAACTCCTTAGAAATGCAAATTCTCAGCAGAGGTTCCAAGGAACCGAAGCCCTGGGCTAATAACACCAATCTCATTAGTAGCATTGTTGTCAAGACTAAATAAGACGACTGACACCTTTTCAGCATCTAAGCACAGTACCCCCGCCCGTAGTCCAAAAAATCCATTGCCAGGGAGTCGATTCCGACTCATAGTAACCCTACAGGACAGAGTAGAGCTGCCCCATAACTGAAGCAGACTGCCACATCTTTTTCCCACATAGCGGTTATTGGCTTCAAACCACCCGCCTTTCGGTTAGCAGCCCAGCGCTTTAACCACTGCACCACCAGGACTCCGCACGTAGTAGGCACACGTAAATCATAGCTCAAAGACTGGACAAAAAGATCTGGGAGCCAGTTTGATTTGGAGTCTCCGTAGGGCCGAAGAGGATGGCGTCAGCGGATTGGGCCGGCCGAAGGGGGCAGGTCCACAGACAGGAGCCAGCATCATCCCGCGCAGCCCGGAGCTTTGAATCAAGCGCGGTAGCTTCACCTGTAGCCAATCCTAGAACTGCATTTTCTCACGTCATTTGTTGCTGAGGCCCAGAGTGATGCGTCTCTCACCAAGATCAGTTCTAGCCGTTACAGCTGTACTGGTGCTCGACTCTTGCGTGTCCATCCGTTACGACTAAGAGGTCAGACAGAAGATCTCAGTCACCTCCCCGAGTATTCGGGCTGGAAGGAGACCCTCGGCTACTTGCTCCAAATATACAAAGCAGCTTCGGGTTCCCTTTTTGTGGAAGCTGCTGGCTGGCGCCCTGTCAGGACTTGTAGTATCAAGATTCTGGTTCTTCTTACACGACTTGCCAGAGAAGCAGGAAGTTGCTTTTTTTGGGAAGGCGAGCCAGGCAGGGAAAGTACTTCGCGGAGTCATAGGTAGTGGGGGTGTACTATGACTAGACTGCAGCTGAGTCCTGGCCCTTTAAACCTGAGGGGGAGGGTCCGGAAGTTGATGGGCGGGGCGAAAGGCCTTGGTATATAAGAGGGCCTCAGCCGTGCGGGGTCTCTAATCTGCCATTTTCTGTTAAATATTTGGTATCCCAAATTTCTAGTTTTCCTCACAAGCTTTATTCCGCTCGCTAGTCCGCCACCTCAGGGGAACGATGGCCGCAGAGTCCACAGCCGCTGCCGCCATCGCTGCGGAGCTGGTTCCCGCCGACAAGTAAGCTGGGCCGTGGAGAGCTTGAGGCACTGACCAGTCCGCGGGAGGGGGTGGGGGCCAGGGCTTTACGGGAGGGACAGACCAGTGGATGGGAGGTTCTTTCTCCCGATGAAGCGAAGTCGCTGTTCAGGGAGACCTGGACAAAGAAGGAACCCACTTCTTGCTGAAAGCCTTGCGTATTGGCGGTAACTCCGGTCGGCTGGCGCCCCCTGCCCCGCTTTTCGCGGCCGCCATCTTGCTGGGGGCAGCGGCGACTGTGTCCACCTCCTGCCCCTGTCCTTCCTCCCCGGGCCTGTGGCTGTCGGCGGGGAGGCGGCGCCCTGACGAACCGGCTTTGCCCCCATGCCCCTACTGTCCCCGCATTCCTGGAGCGCGCCTCGGCAGGGTCCCCAGGTAACCTGGGAGTATAACCAACAGATTTGGCGCCAAAAAAAAAAGCCTGCACGAGGAAGGAGGCTGCAACCGTGGGGTCGGGAGTGGGCGGGTCCTTCTGATGGGTGGAGCCTTGCGCTTTCGTTCTCTTCCCTCCGCCTGCTCTGGAGCAGGGGGCGGGGCCCTGAGGAGGCGGGAAAACTCCATTGTCTGGGGCCGCAGCCGCTGGGCGAGTGCTTTAGACTTTCGCTGTGGGGCGCTGTGAGTTTTCCCCTGCCATTGCTTTTCTTACCTCGTGCTCTGGGGCCAGCCACCTTGCCCTCCGACTCCCAGCGAACCCTGGCCTCCTGTCTGTGGTGGGGAGCATCGTGGTTCTTTAGATTTCCAAGCTGTTGGCGGGAGACTTGGCTGCGTCCGGGAGATATAATGAGGACGCGAAGCTTCTCAGCAGCGTTTGGTTGCTAGGTGAATGCACAGTAATATGCGCGAAGTGTAGTAGAAGAACTAGAGGGAATGATAGAAGATAAGATTGCTTGGAAAGCGGCAAAGTGCTTTCAAAGATATTTTATGAACAGTGAGGGGAAACACCCCATTAATTGAGTTAACAGTTGCTGTTTTCCGTCTAGTAGATCTGACTTCTTGATCTTCCTTTACTTCCTAGGGACCTAGTTTTATTTTTTTGCTTCTCTTGTGCACTTTAGAAATTAGCTGCCTCCCCTATATAGGGAGTGTTTGCTGTGAGATTTTTATGATTCTTTACAGGCTTACCCCCTGATGATGATTATAGTATATTTATAGTCACCAGCATTTACTTCTCTGTTTTATAAGTAAGGAAACAAGATTAGAATGTTGACCCACATGATTATATCACGAAGTAGTTAGATTAGAATGTAGAAATAATTTCCAAATTAATACGTGGCTACAGAGGCTGAGTGAAACCTTAGTGTTTCAGTTTTCATTTTCTCATTACCTATGGAAAAGCTTACCTGGGAGAAAATGGCATGTAAACCTAATTAGCTCGTCTAGGAGAACAATAAAGGCAACATCTCAGGTAAATGGTGGGGCTGTTCAGCGGTAAAGCTTCTAGGTCTGATGTCTGAGGGTGAAGAAAATGATTTGAGTTTAGACTTTGGTAAGAACGCACATTATAAATCCAGTATAACCACTGAAAGAATAAAAATGTATATAGCTTCCAAATGAGTAGAGAGAAAAAATGGAATAAGAAGTAAACTTCAGTTCAGAGTTGGTTATGATAATCAGCTTGATGACTTTAATGATGCTGGACCAGTTTTGTTTCTGTAAAATGCTACATCGGGCTTCTGTCCCCTCGTGCCATTTAAACAACCTTGCCAAAGTAATCAGTGCTTGTCTAAATGCTAAATCAGTCCTTACCGTTATTAGCTTTCTAACTAGTTCTTTCTAAACTAGTTCTCAACCTTTTTGTTTATATTAACAAAGATACAAAAATGTATAGCAGTTTGTGCTGTGGTGATAGGGACGAATGAGAAAGTTCAATTGGAAAGAGGAAGTCTTATGTGGTGAATTTTGGCTTAGCTGTCTTGTAATAATTCCTGAGGTGCTTCTTAATTGCTTTAGAAGAGAAAATGTCAAAATGAAAATAAGTGGTTTACCTTAATAATCCGTCCTAAAGTTCTGGGGTTATTTCTATTTCCACAAGTGGTTTGTGTTTCATCTGTGTTACTGTGGGGCTTATGTTGGTGCTTACTATTTGGATATTTGTAATAAGATTAACTTACTGTGATTTAGCTTCATGGAATTATGATGAATTAGTGATTAGGATATATTTGTATGAAAGACTTAGCCAAATTACCTGGTTATTTATTTTTTTCATGGAATGGAGGAGTTAGGTCAGTATGTTAACTCAAATGTGTAAATGGCAAGAGGGTCCCACTGGTGGACCTGGAAACAATAAACTATGTTTAACGATTGTGTTCAGTGAATTCTGATATTTGATACACTCAAGTTGCTTTTTTGAGGTGGAAGGAGGACAGTAGGGCAGAAAAATAAATGGAATAATTGCTAGAATTGTTTCTGAGTGAGTGTGACCTTGTCCTGATTATCACACCCATTAATCTTGATAATCCTTATATGCAGGTCCAAAGTATTCTTCACTTACCACTTTTGAAAAGTGAAGCATGGAGCGAGGTCCTTTAAAATTCAAGGAGTTTTCATTTTTCGTATTTAAATCTGGCAATTTTATTTGGCAGAAAGAAGTCAGATCCCAATTCAAAAGAATATAGATTCCTGCTCTTTAATTTTGGATAGTTTTTAATTTAAGATTAAATTCTTTAAGGTAAAATAGAAGATGAATACTTGAAGTTATATTTTACCTGCCCTTTTTTGTAGTAAATTTTTTTTTTTTTCAGTAAAATTGAAATACATCATACTGTATAAAGGTGCACAGATTGTAAGTGTACGGCTGAGTGAATTTTCACAAAGGGAAAGGAGAAACAAAATACTGTATGGCACCCAGAAATCTCTTTTCAGTCAATAGCTTCCCTCCCAATGGTAAAGTTTTCTGACTTTTAACATCACCAATCAGTTTTGCCTGTTTTTGAAAACTTAGATAAATGAAATCATACGGTATGTTTGGTTTCTTATACTCAACATTGTGAGAATCATCTACGTTGCATATTGTTTTAGGGCTTTCTGCTGGTTCCATTATGAATATACCACAGCTTATCCATCCTATTGAAGATGGATGTTGAGCTTGTATTTGTAGGGGTAGATCATAACTTTTTGGTGAGGAGGGCAGATAATACTAAATTTTTATCATGACTAGGAGTCAAGAAACCAGATTCTATTTCTGGCTCTGCCCCTGTGGGCCTCAGTTTTCCCATTTGTGAAATGGTAGTGGTAGAGGGAAGATACTACAAGTTCTCCAGATTCATTCCACCAGGAAATTTTTGTGACACAGATTTTCTTTCTTCCCAGGTTATAAGCATAGTTTTCCTATATTTATTGAGCATTTGTTTTAGGTACCAGAGATACCGTGGTTAAGGAGACAGAAGTGGTCTCGGTTCTCAAACGGAGCTTTTGCTACTGGGATAGAGGCAATACATATATAGTGAGAGAATGTCAGTGATAACTGCTGTGCAGGTAATTGGGTGGTTATTTTAGGTGTTTAGGGATGGCCTCAATGAGATCTGATTGACCAGGAGGGGCCAGCTGTATGAAGGGAAACTTCATTCATAGAAATAGGAAAGGCAGAGAATATGGGTACAGATGCAGGTAGATTGGTAGTTTTGTTGGTGGGAGGAAGAGGGACTTCCTGTCTGATTGTTTCTGTTTGGTCAGTGGAGTATGAGGCAAGATCATCTGCGTGGAAGTAAGGGGGAGTAGAAAATGGTGTATGAGAATTTTTGAGAAGTGAGCAGTAGTCATTTTGGAAAGTCTGGAAACAAATATTCTAGGGAAATGTAGTTGAATTGCCAGTGTTGAGTCCTTGTTTTAGATTTGGGATCAAGAATTTAAAGTGAGGCCAGAAAGTGCTGTTGTATGCTTTTCTACTGTAAATGTTCGTTCAGCTGCTTGTCTGTAGCAGACACAGTAGATGACTAGAGGGTTGAGACTTGTGGAACTTACAGTTTTCCAAAAGAAAAACTTAAGTAGAATACTTTCATCACAACGTGGGAGTTTAACTTAAGGAAAAAACATCTTGAAGATAAAACCATCAGAAATTTGTTTTTTCTCCCATATCTAGCTGTCCAGCAGCAACTACCTGTATGGTCTCTTGGTGCCTCTTTTACACCCACCCCTCTCTGATAGCGTTTGTCTCCTCTGCATCGAAACATCCTCAGATGGATGCATTTAAAAAACATTCCCTCTGTCATATATCTGTTTAGCTGCTATCCTTGCTTCTTTATGGTCGATCTTCTTTAGGTAAGAATTTGTATTCCTAGGCTCCACTTTCTTTCTATTTATTCATTTAACAAATGTACTTAATGTTTTAATATGTTAGGGTTTAGGGTTACAAAGATGAATAAGACTTCAGTTCCTGGTCATCAGGTCACAGTCTAATAGGACAGGTGTTGTAATGTCAAGACATGCTTAAATGAATCTCACCTTTGTCACCAATTACATCAAACCCGTCCAGGGAGGCTAAGATCATCTACCTCTGATGCCAGATATGTAGTGAATAATAAAATCCCCCTCCACTCACTCACTGTGTCCTGTAGAAATGTCAGCTTCTCTTCTCCGATCAGTGTAGAACCCAGCTGCCAGCGCAGCCCTTTCTCATCCCCATTCACCTGGGTCTAGGTCAGCAGGTACGGGCCCCTTTTCTATTTCTTAGGTCTGATAATTCCTTGGAATGACTCACAGACTCCAGGGAAGGAGTATCTTTAATCTAGTATGCCCCTGTCTTTCTGAGAGCAGGTGTTCTCTATCATCACCCAGGAAACTCCACTGAACTTTTTTCTTCCAAGGCCTTTATTGGCCATGTCACATGGTCATAATTGATTATATCATGCCTCTTAAGGCTTACTTAGCATTGAACCCTCTTGATCTGGTCATCCCTCACTCATTGGCCTCAGGGGTGATCTAGCTCTCAGGGACCAGGACCAAAGGCCAGATTGTTTACTGCAAGGGGGTTTCACCTTGCAGGT